TGTTATGTGCATGCTGTAATATTTTGGTGTTAGTATGGTTCAAAAATAACCATGGGATACAGCCTCAAAAACTTTAAAAAAAAATGTTGGACAATTGATCATGTAATGGATAATTTTAAGAGGGCGTAGTTGAGAATATTAGAAGGGAAAATTGTAGAACATGATTCTGACAAGATGATCCTGAAAAACTTATGTTTCTTAACATTCATGATACGTAAGTTCCTGATGTCAAATGTGATTTACAAGAATTGGACATCTATGGTCTTAATTTTGCTAAGACAAGTGGGAAATATTACTTTTAAGAAAGAAACAAAGTGGAAAATACATTTCAAAGCAATACACATTCTTCTTGGCAAAAGAGGAAAAACTTCTCCTAAACACTAATTAAGCTGAATATCCCACTAAATCAATTATTAACAAAAACGATTTCTAAACCAAAATGAAAATCGGGAGCACTCGCTTGTGATTACTTAATTAAGAGAGTGAATTATCGAAGCCATCTTAGTCAAATTTATTTATGAGCTGCTCTGGGTTGGTTAAGATTTAATTTTGTAGCAACTCAACCACAAACAAAACCAAGACAAACGTACAAATTCGAACATTTGGCTGAAGTGGGTTGTGCATGTGTAACTAAAATTAGTGATGAAATAAGATGGGCAATCTGTCCCCAAAAAAAATTAAAAAGGAATTAAGACAGACAAATGCTCAAAAAAAGTGTGCACTGTATTGTTTTCAGATAACATATCAAGACATGATAGTTGTTCTAAAAATAGATTGCCCAAACGTTTTAAACAAATAACTGAGCAAAACCCGGAAGACAAAATTGCCATAAAAGGGGTTGGATTGGATGTAATTATTCGTTGTGATATGCATATACTCATGAATCTAAGGAGAATTATTGATGTTCAACTGCTAACTACCAAAAAAAAAATTGACATGCATATTTGTAAACAAGAAAGTTGCTATTAAACATTAATTCTAGTTTGCACCCAGAAATTTTGCACTAACTGATAGGTTACATTTTGTTATTAATTTTATTATTGTTTCCCTCTTTTATTTTACCAAATATTATGTTAATTGGTAAACTCTACTTATTTTTCGTAATTGGCATTGGTCACAGGGATTTGGAGCAAAAAAGGACGTGATTTTCACTAGACTTTTATGCTGTTTGACGTAAGCATGTCAAAACTTAAACTTTGCACGTCTGAAAAATTGGGATTTGGCGCGTGATCTCTCGTTTTAAATTGAAGAAGTGAAAGTCGGATACTCCACCGAATGGATAGCCTCCTACTTTTGTTGAATACTGGTCTAGGCTATTTTGTAGGACTTTTTGAAAAATGACATGTTGGCTTATTGGGATTTGAACTTTGGTTGGATAAGTTGTAGTAGTTTCAGTAGAGATAGGAAACGAAGCAACAGTCATTCTTTTCTTGGGTGAAAAGCCAGATTAACGGGGGGACTATTGGTTTTTCTGGTAGGAAGAAACGAGAACAACGTTTCCTTCGTTTTTCCTCCTACTCTTCAGTCATCTAATAATCGAAGAATGGCCTTGGTGATCAATTCAACTATTTTGCCCGCGATTTCTTCAATAAAGATGAACTAAGCTTCTCATTCTAGTTAAAAACAATAGAGGATTTGGTTTATCTAAAATTGTGAAATCGAATTGATTATATTTATTTCTATTATTTTACTGATATTCGTATGTTCTTTGATTTAATTTTTTATGGTTATTGTTTTATTTGAATATCAAGAGCGCTCGATATTTAATGCAATTTAATAATCTAAAATCAATTAGAATAATTAAATTCGTAATTATTTAATTGCTTTAAATTGGTGGTAATTGGCATGATCGAGTTTGTGTTAGGCAGACATATATGCTAATTTAAGATAACCTTGTAGCGTGTTATTTGGTTAGAATAGGGCTTCTCTAATTCTTAAGGTAATTAAGAAATTGAATTGTAACGTTGTACTTAGGGTTATTTTTGATTAGGGAAGTGATTAATGGTCATACGTTAACCATCAATACAGTAAGGAGAAGTTGATTGTTATCAATTGTTTGGCAATTATAACTTATTTATCAGTTAATAAGTGAAATTATTATTGCATTAATGATAAATTGAGTGAATCATTTCCGAAGTTATTTCTCGGCCAGAGTCTATCCATTATTGTTCTAATTTTAATAACTTGTCATTTAATTTTTATTTATTTATTTTATTTGAGTTGTTTAATTGTTTCCATTTTTATAAAAATTCCCCATACTCTAAACTCTATAAGAAACGAATTTTTTCCAATCCCTATAGATTCGACCTGCTCACGATTATATACAAAAATCTGTATTTTATTTGAGTAAGTATTTATTATTGCACAAACTCGACCCTGTCACTAACTCTCATTTTGTACCTGAAATTTAAATTTTGAACATTTCGCACAAAGAACTTTAATTTGTTCGACTTTTCATCCTAAACTTTTACTCACTTTTACATTGGTCAATGAGAAATGGAGTTAGCAAATCAAACGTGTCATCTCATTAGCTTTTGTGTGTAGTTTTTGTTCCAAAGTGAAATAATTTACGGTGCAAAAAGTTTCAAATAGATTTTCAAGATGTAAACTGAAAATTAGCATAAACTTTTGCAATGAAAGTTTGAATTCACCCTTCAACCATCCTTAGTAGTCTTAATTACTTTGCTACTCAATATTCAATTTTGTCAAGGATACTTCATTCACAGTGGCTGAGCCAAAACTCTTAAACAACATTTCTAATTTCTAATTCCGAATATTGAAAGACATCTCATACGTCATCCTACTTAAGGGTGATAGTTATTTGTTTGAGTATGATGGATAACTTGATTTTGCATTCATACCAACCAAAACAAATTATATATACTTAAAAAATGGAAAGTCGGTAACTATTAAGAAATCCACTTGGGCATTTTGGCTAAGACAATATTTCGAGAAAAATTAGCAAATCCTAAAAGCGTTTCAAACGTGTCTTGAACTTAATACATCAACAAAGAGCCCAACAACAACGTTTCGTTTGATCACTGAATTTGCTTATTCCTTGAACTAGATTATTCCCTTTCGTAATTAAATTCTCAGACTGATAATACTCCAATTAGCTAAAAAAACTATTTAAAATATCTAGCTTTCTTACCATTAGCTAGTAGAGTAATTGAACTATTTGTTGTTCTTCCTCATTCATTGATGTTTGTGTATAGTTTTGTTCCGTTTCATAGTTTCAACTTGTCTTTTATTCTGTCAACCCCTACGCTAAACTAATTGGACAACATTAAAACAAGAAACCAACAAATGATCAGATTTTTTACCATAAAATATCTGCTTATATATACCTTTTCTTTTCTTTTCTTTTCTTTTTTTCCCTTTTTCATTGTGTGTAGGCACAAGATAAGCATGAAAAAGAAATGCTCTTTACTGGAAGGAGTGATACTAGACCACTTATCTTGTGCCGTTGGACAATAAAATAAAAAAACCTTACGTACAAATTATAAATACTTGATTTGATTTGATTTTGTAAATTTGAGTTGATTGTCTCAATTAGCAAGAGGTTCCTTGTATTGCTTATTTTTCTTATTTTCATTTTGTAATTGAATTAATCTTTCCTACACTGACAGTGTATATTACCGTCAGCGTTAGATGAATGATAAATGTGCAAAATTTGAATTTGAAATTCAACTTTTACACATATGTTATTGATCCAACGGTGATAATGTATACACTGTCAGTGTATATAAGATTTACTCTTTGTATTTTACCCTATATATAGGCTCCTAATGTAGTACAATAAGCACACTTTGAATACATTGAAATCTGGTTTCCATTCACCTCCTTCCACCGCATTTCCTAAAACAAAACATACAAACCAAGGGAGCAATTAAGCAAGAAAAACACAAGACAAGGCACTAGCTATGGGCAGTTTGGTGGGCATGTGATCCCTGGAATTGGCTTCTTTCTGATCGGGCTTTGGCATTTGGTTAACCATATGAGGCTTCACTTTCTCCATCCAAAATCCTACATATCTTTGCCATGGTTTCCAACTTCAAAAATCAGGTACGTAGAGCTTTTCTTCCTGATGGGAGGCTGCGTTGCCTATATATTTATGGAACTCTTCGTTGGTCCTGCCAGGCACCAACCACTGGATCCTGATGGCACCATCCATCGCACCATCTTCGCAACTTTGAGCACACAAACATAGCCCTGTCTCTCTTTATCTATGCACTTTTCTCCTTCATTCTTGACAAAATTCAGCCCCCAGCTCAATATGGCCTAACTCTAATGCTAGGAGCCATTGCTTTTGCCCAACAATTTCTCCTCTTCCATTTCCACTCTACCGATCACATGGGTGTGGAAGGCCAATACCACTGGTTTCACCAAATTGTCATACTTGTCTCATTTTTCACTACCCTTTTAGGCATAGGTTATCCAAAGAGTTTCTTGAATAACTTCGCAAGGTCTCTGAGCATCTTGTTTCAAGGAGTTTGGATGATGGTCATGGGAATCATGCTTTACACACCAGAGTATATTCCCAAAGGCTGCTTTATAAACTCGGTAGATGGGCACAGTATTGTCAGTTGCCAAGATGATGAAGCCCTTGAAAGGGCTAAATCATTAGTGAACATTCAGTTTTGCTGGTACTTAATTGGTGTTATAGTTTTTGGTGTGTGTCTTTATTTGGGATTAAACAAAATGTTAGCTGGAAAAGTTGAGTATCAATCTTTAACAACACTGGAGGATGAGACTCAGAAAAGGATCAAAGTCTCTTCTTTTAACGAGCCTATAGCAATGTTGGCTTAATGAACCACATCGTGTCAGACTTTCAAGGACCAAAAAGTGAATAAGGAAGGAGAAAAGGTTCGTATTAGTGTGATATTGTCTGGTTTGCCTTGATGGCATTTAGTGCGGGGTTGAATTGGTTGTAATGTTCAATGGAGAAAATATAAAGTGATTTATAGGATAAAAATTATTCAGAAGTTTGTAATCCGAATATGGATTCTGTACTTTATGATCAATTTGTTCAACGCATGGTACCTCTTGATCTTTTGCTGCTAGGTTTATTGCTAACTCTATCTTTAAATCCTAAATGTTGCAAATGACTGTCCTATTTTTCTCATTGGTAGAATGCATTACATCTCAGGTATGATCTTCCTTAATCCTTCCAGCATTGGCGTTCCTATTTCCGTTTATTTGATAAATCGTGCGAGAAATGACCTGTGATATTTGATGTGTAAAAGTTGTAAGTTGATATGCTTCTCAATCGTGGAGGAGTGTCCGGAGGTGCAAGAAATAACGTTTTGAATTCAACAAGTTTCATTTGGTTTGAAAATTTTAACAAAGGATTTGAAATTCATCTAAATCGTTCTAATTATTTAGATTACTTGATAGGCATTTGAATTTTTAATACACCAACTATTAAAATATATTTTAAATAATAGAACAATTTGTAAATTATAAATTCAAGTATCTCCTAAATAATATAAACAACTAGAGGGATTTGAGAGGATTTTAAATCCTTAGTCAAATCTCTCAATCCAAACACATATGTGAAATTGGGGTTTAGCATTGGAATGGGGCTTGACTGTATATGGACATTCTTGCTTTTTTTTTTATATATATAGAAAAGATCATTTCATTCAAATAAATCTACACTAATGACAAAAAATACATCAAACAAACATGACACTGATACATATAAATCTGAAATTAATAGATATAACATATCTAAAAAAATAATAGAAATAAAAATAACATTAATGCTCCTATATATCTTCCATCCGAATGAATCACTCTAACCCAATACATCAGTGCATGCCTGCTGACAATCAGATTTGATTAAAACTAGTTCAAATCCAAAAAGAAATTAAGATTTGACAATAATGGAGAAATTGCAGATCTGAGAAACTAGATTTTAGATTTACAAAATCTCAAATTTCACAAAGATAAAACCTAAAAAACTCTCACAAGAAAAAAATCCAGAAGAGAATAAAACTCTCACTAGAACAATCTAAAAAAAAAAAGAAACTCCCACTAAGAGATCTTAGAAAAGAAGAGTCTCTCATTAGGAAATTTTAGGAGAGAATTTATTTAAATAAGACAAATTAAAAACTATAAAGTGTACTTCCCCCCATGGAAAAAGACTAGATTTGGTCTCTCTTCCATGGGAGAGATAAAGAAGATTTTGATTAGAAAAGTTATAGAAAGAAGGAAGAGAAAAGACTTCCTTCACTGTATGTGGGCTTGACTGTATGTGGACATTCTTGCTTTTTTTTTTTTTATAGAAAAGATCATTTTATTTAAACAAATCTGCACTAATAACAAAAAATACATCAAACAAATATGACACCAATACATATAGATATGAAATTAATAGATATAATAGATCTAAATAAACAACAGAAATAAAGATAACATTAATGCTCTTATATATCTTCTATCCGAATGAATCACTCTAACCCAATACATCAGTGCATGCCTACTGACAATAATGGAGAAATTTTAGATCTAAGAAACTAGATTCTAAATTTACAAAATCTCAAATTTCACAAAGATAAAACCTAAAAACCTCTCACAAGAGAATAAAACTCTCACTAGAACAATCAAAAAAAAAAAAAAAAAAAAAAGAAACTCTCACTAGGAGATCTTAGGAGAGAAGAATCTCCCATTAGGAAATCTTAGGAGAGAATTTATTTAAATAAGACAAATTAAAAACTATAAAGAGTACTTCCTCTCAAGGGAAAAGACTAGATTTGATCTCTCTCCCATGGGAGAGATAAAGAAGATTTTGATTAGAAGTGTCATAGAGAGAAGGAAGAGAGACGAGTTTTAGACGCGTGCGTTACTAATGACATAGACATTCTTGCTTAGTGACACGGAAGCGTACTAACAGAAGAGTTATACAAACGTCTTCCAAAAAAAACACAATGATAATACACGATCAATTCTTAGTAGTAAGATTCAAACGAATCTTGAACACTTGAGTTAGCATATACAAGAAATGTTGAATAAATCAACTCAAAAGTATGTGGTGTGCTATTGTTTGGTTTGCCTTGATGGTTATTGAGTATGGGGGTTGTTCTTCTGTTTGTTGTAATGTACAAAGGAGAAAATAAAAGGTTGTTTGTCGGAGGAGTTTACTTTAATTTGTTATTGAAAGAACCTAACAAATTTGCAAATGTCTATTTATGTTCGGATCTGGATAACAATCTGCATTTCAAGATTGATTTATGTTTAATTGTTTAGAACCTCTGGATCTTTTAATGCAATTATCTCCTCAATGTTGTAATTATTCAAACAAATATTTTGGCAAGTCAATATAATAGGCATTTTTCCTATATTTATATAGGTGGATTCGAGTATCTATGAGTGATGATGCCACTATTTAAGTACGTAATAGTAATAAAATGTTACTTCACTTGCAACATCACATATCTTATTCATAATATAAATTGTAGTACAAAGTGATTTTTGGGTAAGCAGCATCATATTTTCATGAAAGTTCTAGCACACCATCATATAATTTTGTTCTTTTTTTTTTTTTGTAATCAACCATCAAATAATTTCATTTGATAGTTTAAAATGAAAACTATCTAGTAATTTTTCATTCTCATTTCAGCATTAAAATACAAAAAGAGTTTGCTGTTTAAAGTTTCAAATCTCCATGCCTTATTTACGGGATCAAGTAACCTTTTCATCAACTCTTTTGTTCATCAAAAGTTGCTCTCTCTCTATTTTTTTTTCGCAGCACAGTAACCATTTAACAATATCCCAATGAGACCTGAATATTGACGAAAATTTACTTCTTAAACATTTGCTATTAAAACTTTATACTTCAAAAAGCCTAAAAGGGTAATAACGTAGTAACCAGAAAAATCACTTTTGAGTACTATACAACACCAATATGTGTGTGTGTTGGTCGGAAGTTTTTGCCTACATTTATATAGTGAATATATTATGAACGAAACCAACCTGTCTCTAGCCATTTATAAGTATTGCATGTCGTTGTTCAACCAAGGATTAACAATTCACCTGAAAATTCAGAAATTAATCCTCTCAAATTTCAAGTTTAGCCCTGGATTGTCTTGAGAAATGTTGTCTAGGACCACCGAAATTCCCCATCAAACACCCATACAAGGAGTTCCAGAAAAGGTATGAGATCTAGGGGATCATCTCTTTGATCAGTCCTAGATTGACTTGGTACATTAGCTAAAACTAGCAATCATGAATAAATTCAACATGAACCTACCATTTCTCAGTTGAATTCTTACACTTGATTGATATCCAAGACAAAAGCATGGACATCAAGTTCCTGGGACTAAAAGATATCAGTAAGGGCAAAATATACTTTACTTCCCTTTGGTTTAGAACTTTTTCACATAACTTCCCTATATTTTTAAAAGCTATACATCCCCTCATAGTTTAGATTAAAGTGTGAAAATGATAAAAGAGACAACTAAAATATCAAAAATACCCCTATGTAAATTTGAAAATTATTTATTAACCATAGGGTTATATATATATATATATATATATATATATATATAATATATATATATATTATATATATTGAAAATCATAAGAGAGTTGTATGGTAAACCACTAAACCATAAGAGAGTTATATAGTAAAATATAAAACCATACGCGGTTAGAGTGTTATGCATATTATATTTATATATTTTGGTCATTTCAGCTATTTAGTTTTTAAATAAGGGTAATTTTGACATTTTTCATGGGTTACAAATAATCATTTCCATCATTTTGATACTTTAATCCAAATTATGAAGGGATTATATATGATTTTTGAAACTATAAGGGGTTATGTACAAAATCGTTGAACCACAGGGAGATAAAGTGTATTTTGCCCTATCAATAATGAAGCCTCTAATATTCTGAAGTAGGGGTGCAATTCAATCGAGCAGCTTGGCTTGAACTCACAACTAGCTCAGTCAACTGCTTGATTGGAGCTTAATCAATGCTGAGTTCGAGTCGAGCTCGAGCTACTCGATTGAGGTTTCGAGTCAAGATCGAGTATGTATATCATATACTCAAGAGTTCATGAAACTCTATTGAGCATTCGATGCAATATTTAATTAATACATTATAAATAACTAAATTAGCTTTTTAGGCTGATTATTTGCAATATTTACGACTCGAGCTTGATATCAAGATCGCCAACTTCTCAAGCTCTATCGGGTCGAATTCGAGCCTTTCAAGTATTACGTCTAGCCGAGCTCAAACTTTGTTCCAACAACTCACTTGAGTTCGAGTCCGAGTACTACTACTAGACATCGAGTTCGAGCTCTGAGTATGGTGATACTCGAGTTTGACTCGACTTGATATTACCCCTATTTTGAAGCTTAAATGTGACAACAAATTCATTTTTTAGAACTTTGTTATCTACCTCAATTTCTCACCCTGCCATCCAAAACTTACCAAGAAGAGCTAGTATTAGAGGAGTTGGCTTCAGCAACCACCGTCCATGTCAGGTCGATCTTCTACTGATTTGTTCAACAGAAACCTCCTATATTAGAAGATTGATAGTAAGTAGAGTTGCAGACTATTGGACGATTGAGTGTATACCATTGAACTGATATCCAGTAGAATCAGGGTTGAAGACCAACAACCTACATGACGGTGAAAGACTTCGTGCCTTTTTCAAAAATTTCATCCTTGATAGATCTAGAGAAAGAATGGTAATTGCTAGCATTCTCTCTCTTTTTAATTTTTTTTAAATTTTCATTCTTGTTGTATTTTATAGTTGGGGTGTGGACTATGTGATATAGAAAACATTTTGATTGGTGTTTGGTAAAGATACATGTTTGATGAGTTCAGATGTGACTCATATTATAGATTCTTGATGATATAGTCTACTAGATCCTATGATCAACTTTTTCTTCTTAAGAATTGTGATCTGATCATCAAATGATTGAGTTTTACTTATATATCAATATCTTAAGAATTTCATTATGATCTAAAACTCCTGGATTTTAACCTTCCAAGTGCCAATAGGCCAAAGTAGACTGGAGATCTGACAAACTTGAGGCAGCTGAATTTTGTTTATATGAGGTGATAAGGTGGCTTACTGATACCCAAGACAGGAAGGTGGAGAAATTTTGGTATTCGATGGGGTTGTCTAGAGATGGATAGCTAAAAAAATCAAATGATTCGCAGTGATGGATGCATGGTTGATAAGTTGAAGTGAGGCTGTTGTAGATTCTCTTGATGAAAAACTAGTTGCAATTTGCAAATCTTCCGATCCATTGTTTATTTACTTATCGGTTTCCTTCTAAAGACTTCGATATTTTTACCATCTGATGATCTATTTGCTTGTTTCTATTTGACAATTACAAGATCATCTTAAGCAAAAAACTAGTAACAATCAATTCAATACTAATGATGCACGAGATGTGTAGATATGCACTTTTTGAAGTAGATTCGTTTACATTCTTGCTATACATTGAGCCATTTTTCACTTGGCAGAAAATCCCATCAGCATTTACATCGTATATGAAATGAAAGCTATCTCCAAGTACATACATAAGAGATTGATATGGAAATAAGTGGCATGTTTAGGTGGGAAGAATTGAAGATGACTTCTTTTTCCTCAACGGCTGGGCTGAATTTGGTAAGGACAATACTGTGGAACTTGGAGATTTTTTAGTTTTTCAATATGATGGCAATTGTGTTTATGATGTAATATTACTTGGCCACAATGCTTGTGAAAAGAAAGGAGTTGGAGCTTTTAAAGTAAAGGAAGAGGAGGAGGAAACTAAGGGGTTTGAAGAAGATGATGAGGTGAAAGAAGAATGGGACGAAGAAGGGAAATCTAATGAGTTTGGAAAAGAAGAAGAAGAGGAGCAGAAAATGACGCTAACAAGGTTGAAAAAGAAGAAGAAGAAGTAGAGAAAGAGGAGAAAGAAACTAATGAAGATAAAGAGGAGGAAAGCTGCTCTGATGCAACTGAAATGGACAAGGATTCTAACTATAAGATGGAAGAGAAAGATGATAGCACTTAGGAAGAAGAAGAAAAGGAAGGAGATGTCTACAAAGGCTTGCAAACGATCAAAAGAGGCAAGTATGGTAAGTTTCTAAGGCTTTGATGTGCTCTAAGTTCATTAGCGACTATACATCAATTTCACAACCCAATCATTAATTAAGCTAGGAAACAAAAAACAAATTACTCTATAATCCTCTGAGGTTGTGGAATTGATATTATTTTTAGTCTGATGTTTCATTTATTTAATCTGTTTACCTATTTCACATTCACTTAACACTGATTTGCTTAATCATACAAAAGCTAAAGCCGTTAAAAGTGAGAACTGTAAACTAAGAAGGAAGAGAAAACACTCTTTTCATTATTCTTTTAGACTACACAATGCACAAATATATACACAAGTATAAGTTGATTTAGATCCTAAAATCATGCTAATCTAAATCAACTTATAATCTAATCAAATCTTCTAATATCTGATACTATAATCAAAACAAATCAAATCAAATCTTTTCTAATATCTACAATATCAAATCAAATCATATATGTATGATTTTACAATATCAGATCACATATCTACAATATTCCTCTTCAAAATGAAGTATAGATGTTAACCATACCCATCTTGCCACAAATATAATCAATTCTCAGACCACTTAGAGATTTAGTGAAAATATCAACTAACTACTCTTCAGTTCTCACATGACTGGTTGATATCAGGTTTTGCTAAATTTTTTCACGAACAAAGTGGCAATCAATTTCGATATGTTTTGTTCTCTCATGAAAAACTGGATTTGATACTATATGAAAGCAGCGTGATTGTTACACAATAATTTCATTGAAAGTGAATTATTGATTCTCATCTCACACAATAATCGATGTATCCATATAAGTTCACAAGTGGACTATGCCATAGACCAATATTCAGACTCTACACTAAGCGAGATGCTACATTTTGTTTCTTACTTTTCTATGATACCAAATTACCTCCAATGAAGACACAAAATTCAATTGTAGATCTTCAATCAATTTTAGAAACTGCCCAATCTCCATCTAAGAAGCATTCAACATGAGAATGGCCATGATTATCATATAGTATACCACGCCTTGGAACTCCGTTAAGGTAACACAAAATTTTGCTCTAAAACTGTCGAATGGGTGGTTCTTGGTGAGAACATAAATTGATTCACAATACTAACTAGATATGCACTGTCCGGATGAGTCACAATAAGATAATCCAACTTCCTTACTAATATGAAAATAACTCTCCATCATCTGCTGTAAGTTGCATGTTAGGGATTATTGGTGCTCTACATGACTTAACACCTAACTTTTCTGTTGCTTTCAAAAGATCAAGAACATACTTCCGTTGGCATAAGAAGATACTTTGTTTACATCTTGTAACTCAATGCCTAAAAAGTATTTCAACATACCAAAATCCTTTCTCTAGAAGTGCGATTGAAGAAAATTTTTAAAAGTTGCAATACTTGCAGTGTTACTACCAGTAATAACAATATCATTAACATAAACAACAAGTAGGATAAAACCAATTTCAGATTATTGATAAAAGACAGAATAATCAGAATTACACTTTTTCATGTCAAATTCTTGAACCACCTTATTGAATCTCCCAAACCAAGCACGAGGACTCTGTTTTAAGCTATATAATGACTTTCGAAATTTACAAACCTTACCAAACTCCCCATGAGTAACAAATTCAGATAGTTGCTCCATATAAATCTCTTTTTGCAATCTCCATGAAAGAATGCATTCTTAACATCTAACTGGTACAAAGGCCAATTATTAGTAGCAACAAGGAAATAAATAATCGAACAGATGTGAGTTTTTCTATGGAGAAAACGTGTCTGAGTAATCTACTTCATATGTTTGAACATACCCTTTTGCAACAAGATGAGTTTTGAGACGAGCAACAAAACCATCAAGATTGACTTTAATAGCAAATACCCATTTACAACCAATAGATTTCTTACCTGTTAATAGATGAACCAAGTCTCAACTACCATTATTGTCTAAAGCCATCATTTCTTCCTCCATAGCAGCCGCCAATCAAGATGTTCCAAAGTCTCAGATAAGTTGAGAAAAAGATATTGAATCTAAAGAAACAGTAAAACAGTGCAAGGAGGGAGACAAATGGTCATATAAAACAAATGATGAAATTGGGTAAGTGCACTGTCTTTCACCTTTTTTAAAGCAATAGGCAAATCAAGACTAGAATATAGAGACTGAGGAAACGGTGAATCAAGACTCGAATTTGTAGACGGAGAATATTGTGAAGGATGTAAGTTTACGTGTTTAGAACGACGAGAATATACTTGAGTGATTGGTAGTCTTATAGGAATAGTTATTGTAACAGTGTAGACTAGAATATCATCTTCCTCTCTCTTACTACCGTAGACATTAGACTAAAAAAAATGGATGAGTTTCAAAAAATATAAAATCAATAGAGACTAAATAACGATCAAAAATTGAAGAATAACATCTATACCCTTTTTGAAGACATGAATAACTCAAAAACACACATTTGAGAGATTTGAAATCTAATTTAGACACTTGGGGACAGGTATCACAAATAAAATAAGTACACCTAAATATACGTGGCTCAATGGAAAATAAAAATTGGGCTAAAAACAAAATTGAATAAGAAATCTCATCAGCAAGCACAGAAGATGGCATGCGATTAATTAAGAAACAGGCTATTGAAATAGCATTTGCCCAAAATTACTTAGGAAGCTTCATGTGAAATAGTAGGGCTCTAACAACTTCTAATAAGTGCCTATTTTTCCTTTCAGTAACATCATTTTGTGGTGGTGTGATAGGACATAAAAGTTAGTGAAGGATTCCATTTTCTGACATATATGAATTAAAGGGTTTAGAAAAGTACTCTTTTGCATTATCACTTCTCGAAATGCGGACATACACATTGAATTATGATTTTATTTCAGTACAAAAGGAACAAAAGATGCTAAATAAATCTGAACGACTTCTCATTAAATATTACCAAGTAACACGAGAATAGTCATCAACAAATGTGACAAAATATTTAAAATCAGATTTAGATACTATTGGACAAAAGTCCCACATATCAGAGTACACTAATTCAAATGGCGATACAACCCGTTTATTGACTCTAGGTAAATAAGCCAAATGATGATGTTTGATAAATTGGCATGACTCACAATCTAAATAGAATAAATTCTGAAAATTGGAAACAACTTCTTCAATGTGGGTAGAAATGGATGACCCAAATGACAGTGAATTTCAAGAGAATTCAAGGTGGATAAACATGCAACAGGTTTCAGTACTTTCATTGAAGGGATTTTAAGTGTATAAAGACCGCCAGACTCACATTCTTTATCAATAATTTTTTCCGTCATAAGATCCCGAAAAATATAATATTCAGAAAAGAATGAAACAAAACACTTGATTGCTTTTATAATTTTACTGATTGAGAGTAGATTAAAAGAAAAATTAGATAAGCATAAAATTGAAGATAAGGGGATAGATGACATAGGGATTGCTACACCAGAATCTACAACTGAAGCACATGATCCATCAGTCAAAGTAACATTCGGATGATTTTTGTTAGGATTAAAAGATGAGAGAATACCTTTATTACCGGTCATATGATCTGTTGTACCAGAATTGATGACCCATTTGTTAGAAGATGACACAAGATATGTAGTAGATTTACCTGAGTGATCAATAGAAGGAAGATCGGTACTAGAAGATGGGTAAACAGATTTTTGTGAGAACTGAAATCCAATAAAGGGGCAAATTCATCAGCAGAGATGAGTATGGATTTGTCAAAAAGCACATAATTGTTCTCCTGGGTTGCAAAATTTGCAAATGAGGGATGCTGTTGAGGTCTACCATGAAGGTTAATACGAACGGCACCAACCGTGTGATGCAACCCATACAGACAGGAATGATCTAGAAGGTATGAACCACGTTGGGGACGACGAACGCAGCGGATAACCTAAACTCGTTAATCACGTGGTCAACGAACCTCGGTACTTGGTAGAGGACGCCATAATCTAGCACGGTCTTAGATTGATAAGTTGATTGAATACCTAAGAATGAATCTAAGATATTCAATGGATGCTTCAAAAAAGCTTTTGAGAGAACTCTCAATGTAATTTTTATTAATCATCCAAAAGTGAATGTAACATCCGATTTGAGGCTATTTATAGCCGAGACTAAGACCTAATAAAACTGAAGAAATAACTACGTGGCCCCCGTACAGCTCAGCATAGGGACTAACTACGTGGCCCACATGGCCTAACCCATTGACTCAAGGACTAACAACGACGAAAGTCCAGACCACAAGTTAGTTGGATCTCTTTATTACACTATACTAAACTAATAATGTTTTATGGACTTTTCATCTTCAGTGATGGCCAAAACTAGGACAACAAGTCTAACCTCGTTGAGGCTCTCGATGACCTTTGGCTCTCCACTCGACTCTCAGGCCGCACGAACCAATGTTTATAGTGTCTCGTTTAATCTTTTCGCGCGAGTTCGTGTCATAGGCCCCAATGGCACCTTCACTTGCTCCACTTGGATGGCACCTTCCTCATCAAAGGTCCCAACATGTACGTATGGTATGGTCGATTTCTTACAGTGATAACAGACTCGTTGATTTGAGTTGTATTTTTCATGACTAGTAGTCCCATTTTTACTACTGTTTCTACTATTATTTCTTCGACCAACTCTACTTCGACTCACAAGAGCACTAGTAATATTAGAAGTAGATAAATATTCTTTGGTTCTTAACACTCGTGTGAAAGTGTCATGGAGGGAAACAATCTCTGGGTTAGAGAAAATTTATATTCGAGTAGCATCAAACTCAATTGGTAATCTTGCAAGAAAACTCATTACAGCCATTTGTTTC